AGATAAGCGCCAGCTTGGTGTGTCCAGACGCATTCGTCCAGTCTAGATAAAACCGGATGGGAATCACCTCCTCCGCCCCTATAAGGGCGTCCCCTTCCTTTTCTGGGTCGCCCTTAGATCTCTTCTCTCCACGTGTCGCCGCTTATCTCTGTGAGAAAAGCAAAGAGGGATCGTGTGCCTATGTACACGCTTCTACCTGCTACGGACTGCGTCGAGATAAGGCAGGTAACTAAGGGCTGAAGGCACCTGTCGAACCCCATCCACTTAAAAATTCAATATTTATTCGTGTCATGACCCCGGCGAGCCCGTCTAGACAGGTTCATGCCAACAAACAAATTTCTTTTATTTTCAATAGACTTCCATCATGTGGTTTTATCACCGTCGACGTGGGGACGTATCACAATAGGGGGGGCATGCACGTGTCACCAGGGCCGCCAAACGCGATCGTCCGTGCCAGCAGGTCCACGTGCACGTGCGGACGAGTCCCCGTCGTCCGTGACGTTTCCGGCCTCTTGCACCGTCGCGGGAGGCTCGGGTTTGTCCCAGAAAAAAGCCGGCTGGACGGCATTCGAGAAGACCGCCGGATCCCCAAACGAGACCGGCATCGGCGGCTCCGAGATCGACGGCGGGGGAAACGTCCAGGGAAAACCGGGTCGGAAGTCGTCCGAGGTCGGCAGCAACCTGAGTCGCTGGTGCAGATGGGTCACGAGGCGGGACTTCAAGTCCCGGTCGCATCCGAGCGATTCCTCTCGCTCCATCCGGCCGAGGCATCGCTCCACTTCGCCGATGCATTGAGAAAAGCCGGCGCGGAATTTCGAGACGGCCGTCGGGTCCAGCATGAGGCGCTGGCGCTGCAACGCGCTCACGTATCGGACTGTCATTTCCAAGATGTCTGCCTTTTCCAGCTTCGAGTGCTGCGGAGCCTGAAAAATAAAGTCAACATTTGTATGTTTACATCGTAATTAATCGCATCGCCGAGACACGGGCGACGGGAATTCGGGGAACTCACGTCCTTCCTCATGGAGTCGATGAGGATGGCCTTCAACTGATTCAAACAGTTGTTGATCCGCGCCCGTCGCCTCTTCTCCATGAAGGGCTTGTTGATCTGTCGGGTGAGAGGAACGGAAGTGCGGGGTTATTATCACCGTCATCATCCGACACATTCGTCATCCGGCACCGACATATCGCATGCTCCTCCCTATCAGGGAATGACACAGCGGTACCGCGTGTAGGCATGCGTGTAAATCGGGGAGGGGGGGGGGCAGGGGGGGGCAGGGGGGGGAGGGGAGGGAGGAGGAGGGGGGGGAGGGGCGCGGGGCGACGCAGGAGGCATGGCCTTATCGTCCACTTACGTACACTTCGGGCTCGTGTCAACAGTCGACGCAAGAAAAAATGAAAAAGCCAGGCGCTTTCCCCGCGAGCCGTCGCGTCGCAGGAATGCGGAGATTCCGTCGGAAAAGATGGATGGGATCCAGCACCTCGAGCGGTCGGCGCGTCATGTGGCGAGTACATCATACGGGCAGATGCTCCGTTTACAAAAATGAGCAATTCCGATAATCGATAGAAGCCGTAAGCCAACGGATGCGGCCGCAAGAAAGGCCCTGTTCCGGGTGGCGGAGTCGAAGGGAAGGGATGGGAGCACCGCAGCGGTGCAGACCGAGTTTGCTCCGTGCGCATGCGCCGACTCGTCTCGGCTCGATTTCGTCGGTACGTCTAGAGATGACACTTTCTTGCCGCCGTTCCCGACTCGGGCCCGTTAGCTCAGTTGGTTAGAGCGCCGTGCTGATAACGCGGAGGTCGTGGGTTCGACCCCCATGCGGGCCAACCTTTTCCCTTTTTTTTCCGAATGCAGATTTCGCGGTTACCCTCTTCCCTCTTCCCATTTCGACGATGGAGCCTGAAAGCATCCACTTCTTCGGATTTTTTATTTATTATTATTATTATTTTTTTTTTTTTACGGCCGCTTGAAGACAGCCCTTTCACGCCGACTCAAATCTCTTCGTCCGTCTCGGTGCTTCTCTTTTTCTCCCATTCGAGAGAAAGCAAACCGCTGGCAACCCTGCGATTCTCATTCATTCCGTCAGAGTTCCCCATGCGAAAAAATTCGACAAAGAAAGCTTCCGCTTCCGGGTTCGGAATTGGCGAGCCGAGAGCAGGTGCCATCTGGAAGAAGGAGGCACCTGGGAACTTCTGGACTCGACCACGCCTCGGTGAACTTCCTCGGGTAATTACCAACCCTTCCTCCGGTAATTACCAACCCTTCCTCCGGTAATTACCAACCCTCCGGTGACGGGATTTCGACAGGCGTCATGAGGAAGGGCGTTCTCACCCCCTTTTTATCTTTAATAAAAAGAAATTTCTGGAAGGCACAAGATAGAAACGAAGGCTTATCAAGGCTGGGTAACGGAACGGAAACCGGGCAGAAACAAATAAAATGCCGACGAAACTAACAAGAAAAACGCGCGAAATTCCGATAATTTTTCTTTCACGAGATTCACTCGTTTCCTGCTTCATATTAGACGTATTCTTGCAAGGAACGGAACCGAAACGAAATTACATGAAAGCACTGATCAAGTGGAAAGTTTCAATTACCAACTCACTCAGCTCAAACAAACAAAAAAATAATATTATAATAATAAACTGATTCGAACAACATAAAACGCGTCGCCGTGCTTGTGCAAGTTCGAGGGCGAATATCCGGAACTATTTTCTTGAATTGCATCCGCAAACCCCGCGCCACTCAATTTTTCACTTTCAATTGCGACAGTTGTTTTCGTCAAGTCATTCGAAATAAATTCCCACGCGTTATTACTGAATTACGAAACAGTGGGAGGTCATTCAAGCAAACGGTTAAAGGAACAAAAAAATGTTCCGTTAGATAAAAAAAAAAAGTTGAGCTCTGGGCGGCAGTTGTGGGTTGTTTATCCCACAACTACCGCTTATAGGTCCTCTGGACCCACGTGCGGTTATTTTTTATTTTAATAATCCCTTAAAGGTTGAGAGAATCGAGGTTCCCTTACAGTTACTTCGAGCATTGCGCGACCGAAAGGTTATGCGCGGCTCTTCCCGTTCTTCCTTCGAATTAGAGAACATCCATGCCCTCCCTTCTGGAAGCCCCCCGCCCCCATCCCCTCCGGATTCTGGAAGGGGGGGGGGGGGGCG